ATACCTAATTTTAGGACCATATCGATATTTACGAATCGCACAAAATGGTCGAAATGCGAGCAATCAAACGTATTATTTATCGCTATCAGGGTTTGAAGTGTACGGGAGCATTGTTGATGTTGTGGTTAGTTTTAGTTGTGTTTGAGTTGTGTATCAGTCATTTCTTGGTTATTACATATTCATCTTTTTTATGAGATATTGAACTGTTACTCAGGAAAAATGTGATCCTTTAGTGGCGACTGTGAGACGGTTCCGATTCATTCGTTGAACTGTTTGAGCAAAATTGAAAGCAAAAGTGAAATCTTCATTTTTGTGAATTTTCATGAATCGTGAATGTACAATGGTGATGATGTAAAGAAGTGCGCGTATTGAATTGAAGTTATGAATTCATTGGTATTATAATGATGAATGGTGTTTCAGATAGAGGATTTGAAGCCATCCGAAGAGAAGTCTCAAAGTGGAAATGCATCAAAAAAATCCTCAAAAAAGAATTCACTGTCGTCATCAACTGTCAGCAAAGAGAAAGAAAAGGATTCAGAGGGTAAGTCAAAGGATTCGTTCGGAAGCGCGGCCACAGTGAGCACCACACCAACAACGACCACAACTGTCACCACTGCGTCAGCACACGAACAACCGACTGCAGCCTCGTCGTTCAGTCATCTGGCTGGTGGCATCGCGAACAATAAACTGATCAGCGGTGTGATCACCGCCGATGTGGCGTCGGCGAGTTCTGCGTTCAAGACGCGAATCTTGCGCTATCGTCGTGGCTCACGTCTTCTGGTGGGCAGTCGTGGAGGAATGCCGAGCGGCGGTGGTGCTTCGGCGATGACGACGACGGATTCAAGTGGTGGTGGCGGCGGTACCAATACAGCGGCATGCGCAATCGGTAGTCGAGTAACACGAGGACCGGACTGGAAATGGGAGAATCAAGGAAGTGGTTCGGTTGGAACCATAATCTCACCGCTCGAAAAAGGCTGGTTGGATGTGCAATGGGACGACGGCACAATGAATTCGTATCGTTTCGGTGCGGACAACAAATTCGACGTTCACATTATCACCAGCGATATACCACCACCGAGTTCGACGTCGTCGTCACTTCAAGCTCTCAGACGCGTTCCACGAGCGATCGTAACATCACGTCGTGATCATCACCACAACGCCGCACCACTCTCCACGCAGGCCACTCAGCAGTTCGCTACATTCACCGGATTCACACCGTTCTCTGGCAGACAGCTATCGACAACAGCCACCACAACAACAACAACCACAACAACGAGTGCATCACGCAAGGATGAAGCGAATTCGCATGCAAGAGGCAGATATGCGTCGTCGACTGCAAATCCATTCGCACGATTCTACCAGACCAGTAACACAAACGCCAACTTCACCGAGACGTCATCGACTGCACCATCGCGCGACACGAAAGCCGCCAGTGCAGGTCCATCGGCATCGTCGACAATCGCACAGAAATCGATGTCGACCACGAATCTTTTGGATGGTTCCGACGGTGACAAGCGCCCATCAGTGGCGTCAACGAATCAAGCGGCAAGCGCCGAATCACTGCAACACCCGACACCGTCCCTGGAGAACCTTCTGGCCAGATCGAGGATCTACGATGAACGTATCGCTGAAGTGGTCGCAGACGATGGATCGGCCACTGAGCAAACGCCATTGGGTTCATCAAAAGCGCTCGACACAGATCAAGAGAGCTCGGTGTCTACGAACAATAACGCAGCTTTCGACACGAGCATTGATAGTTTTGATGCGGCATTCGCGCAATACGCTCAGCAATCCATTAACGTCAACTCGTCAAGTGGACGAGTTAGCGCTTCATTGGAAGAAGAAGATGTTGAAGAGCGCACTGAAGCCGCATCTGATACGACTGCAACTGCACAACAATTGTCAGCAAACGATCAGCAAGGACTGACCTCTGTCGAGCAAAGTTTGAGTGTGAGTGCGCCAGATTTGGCTGTGATTCGTCAACGTCAGCAACAAGAGGATACGTATGTGGACATTGCGAAGGATCAACAACAACCTGCATCCAAAGCGATATCGTCAACTGATTCCACTGCACCAAAAGAGAGTGCAGCACAAGAGCCGAGCGAAACGGATGTTGTTAAAACATCAACAAACGAAAGCGAGCATCCATCGAACGAAACAGAAAAACTTCACGTTGATGTGGTATGTGAATCTGATAGCGCACAACAACAACAACAAGAGGGTCAAGACGAAGCAGATGGTGGCGATCAGCAGCACACACCAACCATTAAGCAGCAATCGTCAGTGAATGAGATCTCTTCAGACAACAACGCAATCAACGAAATATCCAGTGCTGGTCAGTTACTGTTTTCTAAGATCACATATTGTCTACAGCTTTTGCATTCTCTTACTGCTCATTGCTTGTCACTGGCCTCGGATTGTTCAGACTTTCTTAAATCTTAATTAGGAACTTGTATTATTCAGTTTTAAACAACGCTTTGGAATTGGAGGAATTGTATGACACTCATAGTGAGATTGAAATATACCAGTATTATTATTAATGATGATGGTTTTTAATGATCTGTTGGTGGAATTTGTAGTAGACGATGCGATTCGACAATATTTAATGGGTGGTGATGAGCAGTCGGAATCGGATTCGAATGCGGTGCATAGCGACGATAGGACCTCAGGTGCGGTTCAAAGTTTCTTTGCGATCACGAACTCGGATGGCGAATACAATGACTTCTTGGACGCTTACGCTGATATGTTGGATAATGCAGGCGACGGTTTGTTCATTTTCGTTGTTTTTATCAGTTACTCTAATATTCAAATATTGTGATTTGACATGCAAAATTCAAAATAACAGATTTGATGATTTCATCGAAACTGATCAGTTGAGTTTCTAAATGAATTTGTTGGCAAGCTTATAGAAGAAAATCCAACTCGAGAAGAAGCAACAGAGGAGAGTGCGAAGAAGGCTGGTGATGAAGGAGCCGAGGAGCAATCGGTTACAACTGAAATTTCGAGTGAAACGACGGCTATTGCAGCTGCAGATGAGTCGGCAACAGTCACATCGAACACTACATCGGCTGGTAATTTCACTTTACTTACTCAGAAGTTTGACATGGGTCTGTTTTGTGATGGTGAACGAATTGGGAATTGGAATATCGCGTAATTCAAATATTGAATCAGTTTCACTTTACTCAGAATTTTTGACACGGTTCTTTGATGGTGAATTGAATTGGAACAAGTATTGAATACTGTTACATGAATCAGTACATCGTTTAAAGTATGCCATATGTTCTATCATTAGGGCTGCTTGAAGGAAGTAGTCAATAAGAAGGGTGTGGGTATGATTAGTTCAAAAGGTTTATGTTGCATGCATTGTTGCAGTGCGCCGTAATGTTCAGTCGATTGGCGGAGGAATTCGATATCGGTTAGGGAATTACGCTGAAGTTTTACGTACAGTGATGCAACAGGTTATCGACTCGGGCAGTTCGCTGAACGCCTTGGAATTGGAGGAATTAGAGGTGTGTTGGAGTTTGCATATTATTTTTTGTTAGGATTGTTTAGTGAAGTTATTGACAGTGATGTTATTGTTGTGGTGAGACGATGCAGTAACGATTAATGAATATTTCTAATGATTGCTCTGATTAGTTTCGTAGTTATCGCGGGTATTATCATTTGAGGATGACATATATGACGATGATATGACAGAAGAGGTGAACGAAGAAGACTGTGATGATGAATATGTGAACGGTTTATCTGTGGAAGCATTGGCGCAAGCTGCGGCTGCCTTACGGAGGCAGTCGCGCAGTACGAGTTCGGCTGGTTCCAATAACGATTTGAAGGTGAATTGGAAACAGGTTAGCTGATTATTCACTATTATTATTGTCATTTCATTGTTATTATTATTTTATTGTTATTGTCTGATGTTCTTGTTGTTATCATACGAACATATTCGTTGTCATGTCCAATGTTCACTGTAAAATGCCTTGATCTAGACTTGGATTCAATTTCTCAATGTTTTCTTACAAT